CCTGACCTAAAGACGTGTTTGTAGATGATGTAATGGTAATGACCTTGTCAGAAAAAACATTGACCTGACCTAAAGACGTGTTTGCACAGGATGTAATGGTAATGACCTTGTCAGAAAAGACATTGACCTGACCTAAAGACGTGTTTGTAGATGATGTAATGGTAATGACCTTGTGAGAAAAAACATTGACCTGACCTAAAGACGTGTTTGCACAGGATGTAATGGTAATGACCTTGTCAGAAAAGACATTGACCTGACCTAAAGACGTGTTTGTACAGGATGTAATGGTAATGACCTAGTCAGAAAAGACATTGACCTGACCTATTGACGTGTTTATACAGGATGTGATGGTAATGACCTTGTCAGAAAAGACATTGATCTGATCTATAGATGTGTTTGTACAGGATGTAGTGGATCTAGACTAGTGATCCTCATAGATCTAGACGAGGGATCCTCATGGATCTAGACTAGTGATTCTAATGGATCTAGATGAGTGATGCTCATAGATCTAGACTAGTGATCCTCATAGATCTAGACGAGTGATCCTCATAGATATAGACTAGTGATTTTAGTCTAGATCTATGAGGATCACTAGTCTAGATCTATGAGGATCACTCACCTAGATCCACGAGGATCACTAGTCTAGATCTATGAGGTGATCTTCATGGATCTAGTCGAGTGATCCTCATAGATACAGACTAGTGATCCTCATGGATCTAAACTAGTGATTCTCATAAATCTAGACGAGTGATCCTCATGGATCTAGACAAGTGATCCTCATAGGTTTAGACGAGTTATCACCCCTGCACCGTTATCGTCAGCGGACGCCATTGTGAACGTTGGTTTTCCAGGCCTCGTTCTGAATTTAAAATGGCCGCCTCGTGAATAGAGCCTGGGCATTAGTCGAATTACCTTTGTGTTCATGACGTGATTTCCGTTATAGACTATTACACGTGCAAGTCTTCTTGCGCTCTAAGAAAGTACAACAGTGAACGTTTGAATAATATAAATTAGTGTTTCTCCTACCCACATTTATTTTTTACTCACGATGTGATATTTATACAGTAAAGTAAAACAACAACTAATTATTCAAACTTTATCGAATGATGTAACAAAAGTTAATGAGTGTACGTATTCGTTGTATTTGTAGTGGAACCTAGATGGAGTGTACAACCAACCGATGGTGCCGTGGTTGTAGGTGGGCAAACCCTCTTCGATTGCCAAGCAGAAGGACATCCTCAACCAGTAGTACGGTGGAAAAAGTCTTCAGGTTAGAAACCTTTTCATGTAACTTTGAATACTGAAAAGTTTGTTTGTTTGTCATGAATTTCGCGCCAAGCTACTCGAAGGCTATCTGCGCTAGCCGTCCCTAATTTAGCAGTGGAAGACTAGAGAGAAGGCAACTAGCAATCACTACCCACCGCCAACTCTTGGGCTACTCTTTTACCAACGAATAGTGGGATTAACCGTCACATTATAACGCCACCACGGCTGAAAGGGCGGGCATGTTTGGTGCGAAGGGGATTCGAACCCGCGACCCACAGATTACGAGTCGATCGCCCTAACCACCTGGCCATGCCGGCCGAATAATGAAGAGATCTCTAAACCAAAATTTTACAAAATAAATTACTCACCGTTTTACAGTTCATAATATTGTATTTGGCATGTTAATTCGATTTTCTACAAAAATATACCTTTTTCTCACTTAAATTTTAAAAATGTACACATAAAAACAAGGGATACGGTACTATATATAGTATCATCACAGAGTTAGGCCTAACGATTGTATTTTGATAAGTATTATGTACATTTTTCAAACTCTGTAGTGCACCCAAAAGGGAGGAAACCATTATTTAAATATAACTGTTTAAAATAATTCTTTATTAATTTTCGATATCGTTTTGAAGAGTTCTTCACATCAAAGAAATCACACACACACACACATATATTTGTCTGCATGTCTGTTTGTCTGTCCGTTATATAACTATTCCTAAGTCGCTGGGCTAATCTCAAACAAACTTTGTGGGATGATAGTTTGGAATAAGGAGCACGTTAACGGGGGTTCACAGACCTCTCCACCCTATTATTGCTGTTATTGAATATTTATTATCTTTGACGCACGTTAACAATGTTCACAAATGGCGCCACGTCCTTACACGAAACACCTTACACCTTACACTTTATCAAATTATCTATAACACAACATACACATAGTGTGGGGGGGGGCACCCAAACGTCTTATATATCTCAGAGAGTGCGCTGGTATTGTCTGTGGAGGAATGTAATGGAAAAAATGGCTGCCAATATTGCAATACTACATAAACTCAGCTGACTGACATGAAGAGCCGTTTCTTGAGTTATATCCACTTCCTACTTTGACCCGTGACTTTTCAACTTTGGCCCCTGAGACACTTCTGCGGTCAATGACCGTCTATTAATTAATCGCGTGAAACACAGTGGAAGGACATTAAGAGCAGGGGGTTGAAAGTGGGTAACAGAAAGCACCCCCTATCACCACAATTTGGTCGCTAACCTCTTCATAGAAAGACACTCTGACCATCACACAGTGTATACCATGTTGTATATATACAGCGAGTTCTTAAACTTTATACAAAACCTTTGATTATATTTTATAAATAAATTGTGTGAAAAATTAGGATTTTTGCGTTATTTATCATAGCATCCACCCTCACATTTTCCTGAGTTCATAACCTGAACTTGTAGAGAACAAAATAAAAATAGATCAACAATATATCACTCCGGTGTGACAGTTACACATAGAACTATTGTTAGACGAGCCACGAATATCAACAATATATCACTCCGGTGTGACAGTTACACGTAAAACTATTGTTAGACGAGCCACGAATATCAACAATATATCACTCCGGTGTGACAGTTACACGTAGAACTATTGTTAGACGAGTCACGAATATCAACAATATATCACTCCGGTGTGACAGTTACACATAGAAAGAAATATCAACAATATATCACTCCGGTGTGACAGTTACACATAGAAAGAAATATCAACAATATATCACTCCGGTGTGACAGTTACACGTAGAACTATTGTTAGATTAGCCACGAATATCAACAATATGAAATAAGTACTTACATTTTGTAGCGCCTTGAAGTGGAAACTGAAACCATATTTAAGATGCACATTATGAATGATGAGTTAGTTTTCCAGAACTGGGGAGATGAAAAACTCGTGGTGGACTAATCTTCAGAGACTTAACACGATACATCTCTGTCAAATCAGTCAGATAGAGTTAAATATCTTATACTTTAGTTGGTGTTAGAGATTTGATATTCAAAGAAAGAGGTCGTAACGATACGTCCCATTCTGCAAAGACTTCATTTCTGTTTTAAAAATATTTTCCAACTAAACCAAGTTGTTTTTACTGAAACCTATTTTATTTTTCAACTAAACCAAGTTGTTTTTACTACCACTTATTTTTATTTTTCAACTAAACCAAATTGTTTTTACTGAAACTTAGTTTCATTTTTCAACTAAACCAAGTTATTTTTACTGACATTTATTTTATTTTTCAACTAAACCAACTTGTTTTTCTTGCCACCAGAGGTCAAGGAGAAGCAGACGTTTACTCAGGTGATGAGTAACGCCAAACAACAGGTGTTGGAAAACGGTTCCTTAGTGATTGTGAACGCCGTACCTGGAGATGGAGGGGAATATCTTTGTCAGGCTTATAATGGAATCGGTCCTGGCTTGTCAAAGGTTGTCACTCTGTCCGTGAATGGTAAGTTATTTTTATACATCTTGTATTTGATTCCAGTGTATGTACCAAACTAAATATATAGATAATAAATTAAGCATTTTATTTTTAAAACAATTTAGATTAGCAAACTAAATTCCTGTACATATCCACATATATCCTGAACGGGACGTTGCCTAGTGATTGGCTTATTGGGCTGCAGATCAGAAGGTTCGGTGTCCGAAACGTGATTCTGCCGAGTGTGCTGTTTGTTTTCAGCTATAGGCACGTTATAAAAGAGACAGTAAATTATGTTATTCGATTCAAGGAGCTATTGTCTTTTTTTGAATCGAGTAACAGTAATCCAAAATTAGGGACTATTATACTTGACCAGCATGGGTCTCTGACATGCCAATTTCATTAGGTTGAAAATTCCAGCACAAATATCTAGTGTAACGCTCATACAAGTAGTGACACTGTAACTAAAACGTTCGTAAAGTTGTTGTTAAAACAAATAGCGTGCTTCTACCTAATCACGATTCTAATTCAGACTGTTTCTGACTTGAACTTCAAAATACAAACTCAGAACTATTTTTGTTGAATACAAAGCCCAGCCAGCAACAGTATCTGAAGAGATTCTCACACGTTAAACTTTTCAAGCACACTCTTTCAATATTCAGAAGCTTATAAAAAATCTTCTTGCAATGAATACTTTGAAATTAGAACAAAGCATGCCTCCTAGGCCTAGTATTGATGTCATTCAACCATTATGTCAAACAGTAATATCTTCTGGCCAGAAATATATCCATTAAATGCGTGTCGTAATAAATAAATTATTATAAAATACAGTGTTGCAATATACAATTGGCTGCCCACTTTGTTAGGAACTATACCTAGAAACGGGCTGGGTCACCTTTTGCCAGAATAACACCTTTGTTACGTGCAATAATTAATATTGTACGCAATTCCTGAAGCGAGTGTACAGAATATAGTTATGGCGAAATGTGTTTTTCAAGTTCATCCCACAGATGCTCAAATGGATTAAGATCCGAGGATTGTGGTGGTCACGTTCCTCAAACCGTTACACATACAATTTGAGCTTGATGGATAAAATATTTTTCGTTTTGGAAGTAACGTCCTCATCGGGTTATACATGAAGCATCACTGGATGTATATAATAAGAAATGATGCTGAGATGAGCTATGACATTCATTTTGCTTTCTAAAAAACATATAAAACAGGAAACTTACCCCAAACCATGACTCCATCATCAGATTCCTGGACAGTTGGGACAATACAAGAAAACGTACCCCATACCATGACTCCATCATCAGATTCCTGGACAGTTGGGACAATACAAGAAAACGTACTCCAAACCATGACTCCATCATCAGATTCCTGGACAGTTGGGACAATACAAGAAAACGTACTCCAAACCATGACTCCATCATCAAATTCCTGGACAGTTTAGACAAGACAAGAAAACATATCCCATACCATGACTCCATCATCAGATTCCTGGACAGTTGGGACAATAGGAGAAAACGTACCCAAAATCATGACTCCATCATCAGATTCCTGGACAGTTGGGACAATAGGAGAAAACGTACCCAAAATCATGACTCCATCAACAGATTTTTCTACAGTTGGGACAAGACAAGAAAACATACCCCATACCATGACCCCATCAACAGATTCCTGGACAGTTGAGACAATACAAGAAAACGTACTCCAAACCATGACTCCATCATCAGATTCCTGGACAGTTGGGACAAGACAAGAAAACATACCCCATATCATGACTCCATCAACAGATTTTTGTACAGTTGGGACAAGACAAGAAATATACCCCAAACCATGACTCCATCATCAGATTCCTGGACAGTTGGGACAAGACAAGAAAACATACCCCATATCATGACTCCATCAACAGATTTTTGTACAGTTGGGACAAGACAAGAAAACGTACTCCAAACCATGACTCCATCATCAGATTCCTGGACAGTTGGGACAAGACAAGAAAACATACCCC